TTAAGCCCTCAGAAAAATTGTCCAGTTAAAATATGTTAAAATATGTTAAAATAAAATAATTAAATTAAATTAAATTAAATTAAATTAAAGACTGTCATGTATTCCTTAAGATTAAAGATAGGCTTTCACATTCTATCGCACATAGATAGGGGGCAGCCAGTTCCATTGTTGAACCATTCTTACCACTAGGAATTTTTCCTGATGCCTAACCAAAACCTGCATCCTTGGAACTTGTAATGAATGTAATCTGCATGAAGTCCAACCTGATTTTGATCTTCTTATCTGCTATTTAAGAGTTTAATAGCTGAAGAACTCTTATAAATAATAAATTCCACAAAACCCATTGCTTACTATAAACCCTGAAGCCTGTATTTTTATGTTCTTGTTGAAAAATGATGCATTCTCTACCCAAAAGACTAACGCTGGCATCAAGAAACAGTAACTCACAAGAACAACAAAATATACTTTTGGAGTGACAATGTTTTCAGACATATGCTTTGGACAAGACAGACACTGTACCATAAATTCACCAGTCTGTAAAAGCTTAATCTCTATTCCATTTTGTCACTTAATGTTATTTAGTATTTACATAATACATCATTCTTTAATGTCTTAAAAAAGAACATAGAAAAGCAGTATTCATTTCAGTTTTGAGGACAGTCTGTTTCCATTCTTACAAACAACTTTTTTTTCTTGTCAAATACTCTGAATTTTTTATTAATACAAAACTGAATATGGCTGTCATGTAGAATGAAATCAGATCCTCAATTAAAAATTTGTTTTGGTCACAAATTAGAAGCATCACCATTAAAACTGGTTACTTATCTTCAGTTGTCAGAGCCTTCTTCATGCAGAAATTCAAGAAAGCTTAATCAGTAAAGAGAATATATAAATAAATAATAATAATTATTATTATTATTATTTATTAAACTTGTACACTGCCCAACTCTCAATGACTCTCGGTGGCTCACAACAGTCAAACAAAGAAATTAAAATAATATCAATAAAACATTAAAAAAAAATCAACTATGGCAAGTGTGATGAAGCAAGGGATCTCACTCCCTTGCCAAAGGCCTGGGTAAAAACCCAGATCTTCATGGTTCTTCTAAACAACGGTAGAGTGGAGGCCATCTGGATCTCAGAGAGAACCTTGTTCCAGAGGGTAGGTGCTGTTAGAGAGAAGGTGTGCTTCCAGGATCCTGAGAGATGACATTGTTTAATCAAAGGAACCCTGAGCACACCAACCCTGTAGTGTTAGTACTCATGATTTGTTCTTGTCTGGACTACTTCGGAGGGCTGACATCAATCTTGTCAAACTGTCAAGTTGACTCAACACACTGAATCAGATGCCTTCAAACTGATTAGAAACATCCAATGGACCTCTGTATGTGGACATACATGTTTCATTGAATTAAAGCTTTGGATTGATATGATTCACCACACTGCAAATTTGAACTGAATTGGCTCAGCCCACTGAAGTGCAAATTCAAACTGAATCAACTTAACTCATCAAATCATAAATCAAAAATAGATCCTGGCTAATTTCTCATCCCCAGTATTTTCACTTTTCTCAACAATTTCTTCTAATGTGACTGTTTCAGCTATGTCATTAGCATATCAGCCATCAGACATATTTAGAGTTTTTGAAGCACACCATCAAACACCCCTTGAAACGTGTCTCTGGAGGCCTTGAACACACAGTAGAAAGGATACTGACCCAAAAAGTGTCTTTTTCTCTTTTTACTAAGACAAAAATCTGTTACAGGTTAAAATAGACTAATATCCGAAGAAAGGTTGGCATAATACTATTATAATCAAATCAATAATATTTTTAAATCAAGGTCTAATTGCTTATCTGGTCCACAGGGCAGTTAAAAAAAAAAAACTGTCCATTTTGGATAAATGAAGTAGATTCTCAGTCTATTCCCTTTTTATACTTCCTCTGATGTAGTTGTTCTACTTAATTCAGTAAGTAAATACAAATACTTAAACAGTATTTGACAGATACTGTTGAGCAGACAACCTCAGCTACTACTCACTTATCTTCCAAATCATAACAGATTCTTTTGTTGAACATCTCTATCAATGCATTCCAGATATAGACAGATACAGGTAAAATCATATTCCCAAATATTTGCAAAATGTGTTTTCTGTACCACTTTGGATTACTTTTCCAGAGGTTTACTATCTAAGAAATACACAATAAATTTATATATTTAATATATTATATTTTATCATCTTTGCTAGTTCTGATCTCCATTGATATGGCATCATTATATCCCAGCCAATGGAAAGCAGGATGTTTTTTATTAAATTTTCTTGACAGTTTCTTCCCAGGAAAC